GAATTAGTAACTCGACAATTTGGTTACTATTCGCAGCAAGTTAGCAGTAATTTTACTTGTATATTACACTCGGAGGTAAACATTGCTTCCTGGTGTATACATAGAGTATACTTTAGTCCAGGACTAACACATACATGCTGGTTGGTCAGTGAGCAGGTGTGGTGGCCGTAACACCCCAGGGGTTGATGAGCGTGAAGCCTAACACCAAAGCATATCCTTCAAATTCTGTAACTGCGCTCAAATTAACAATATTCGCTTCTCTCTCTCATCACTTCATTCCCTCACCCTTACTTCTCTTTACCCTTACCTGTCCCAACGCCTACCTTTCCCAACGCCTACATTTCCCAACGCCTACCTTCCCTCACTGTTACCTTCCCTAACCCGGGACCCTCCAGCACCCTGCGTCTCTCCCCTCGCTACTTGACTCCTAGAACAACAACACCCTCAAACCTAGAACAACACGGACGTTGAAAATAACATCTCCGAAACACCTTCGTGCTTCAGAAAGTTTCTTAGAACCACCACCTGCGGCAATTTGGTACCTGAAGTTTTTAATTAAACTCTTGGAAGTGTAAATTAGTAATACTTAAGCCTGATGTGTGACGATGTGTTTTAATACCTAGAGTGAGTTATGCAGTGAGTGTTCGGAGAGTGAATTAAGTAGTGGGAGACTGAGAGTGAATTAAGTAGTGGGAGACTGAGAGTGAATTAAGTAGTGGGAGACTGAGAGTGAATTAAGTAGTGGGAGACTGAGAGTGAATTATATTGTGTGAGTCGGTCTCGGTTATTGCACACCCAACTCTTTACTCCATCATCATCCGCAGGATATAAATTCAATTCGCTAAACCAATCAGCATCTACCACTCTCGTTATATATATATATATATATATATATATATATATATATATATATATATATATATATATATATATATGTGTGTGTGTGTGTGTGTGTGTAAATCACGAAAAATAAACACGTGATTAAAAATGTGACAGTGTCAGACCACGGAGGAAGAATTGAAACAGGAATTTCCTTAAGTACTTTCGTATATTAATACATCTTCAGAAGGATGATTCCTTCTGAAGATGTATTAATATACAAAAGTTCTTAAGGAAATTCCTGTTTCAATTCTTCCTCCGTGGTCTGACACTGTCATATATATATATATATATATATATATATATATATATATATATATATATATATATATATATATATATATATATATATATAAATACATAGGAAGGGAGTACCACCTCTAGCTGGAAGAAGGGGGACCCATAGCCTCGGAGGAAACCACGCATAACGCATTAGAGGGAATGTTTAGATCCCCTCCAATACAGTTTCTGTGTGCTTTTCTCCTACCAATATATATATATATATATATATATATATATATATATATATATATATATATATATATATATATATATATATATATATATATATATAACAAACACACACACTTTGCTTTAACAACCGGCGGCTAGACAAGCGAGGTCCAAGAGCTGGAACTTGATTCTGCAGGCCCAAATAAGCGAGTGCAAATAGGTGCGTACACACACGCACGCACGCGCACTTGACAGTTTCAAGTGTAGATATAATAGAGCCCAGTAGGCTCAAGAATCTGTACACCAGTTGATTCACAGTTGAGAGGCGGGACCAAAGAGTCAGAGCTCAACTCCCGCAAGCACAAATAGGTCAGTACAAATAGGTGAGTACACAGGTCATCGTGACTGAGCGGACAGTCCACGTGAGTCGTAGCCCAAAGGACCTGGGAACGATTCCTGGCCGAGGCAGAAACAAATGGGCAGTTTCTTTCACCTGACGTTTCTGTTCACCTAGCAGTAAATAGGTACTTGGGAGAAAGACTTCTGGCGCGTTCTGCATCCTGGAGATTGTCTTTGTGTCGGAGAGAGAAATATAGATGTCGCAGAAAAGATAAAATTGGATTGGGTGTCAGACCATTCGACAACCAAAGGTTAGAAAGGCGGGGTCCAAGAGATAACATCTCGATTCTACATTCACAAATAGTAAATAAATACTCGAACAACAAAAAAATAATGATAATGATCTAGCGTACGCCTTACCTGCAGAGTTAACTAGTAAGCCTGAGCGTGTGTCCTTGGTCATGAGAAGTGTGTCTAGAAACGGAGGCTTGAGGTGATCTCTGGTAGTAGGGATGACGCACGCCCTGGAGATGGCGGCGAGGAGGAAGTTTTTGCTTGGTCCTTAGCTATTTGTTAGGGAGGAGCCTTAGGCTGCCTTCAGGCGGCATTTGTTCCAATACGCTATGAGGCAGGGTGGGTTGGTGAACAAGTAGGGGTGTACTGGAGTCCAGGAGGGGGGTGTACTGAAGTCCCGGAGGGGGGTGTACTGGAGTCCCGGAGGGGGGTGTACTGGAGTCCCGGAGGGGGGTGTACTGGAACTCAAATGGGATGTATTAGGGCAGAATGAGCCTTAGATGGGAGATGGTGGGGGTGCTGCTCCTAGACGAAAATGGGGATACAGTGGAGCGTAAATAGGGGGGTATGTTGTGATATATAGGAGCCGACAATGGCCGAGGTGGATTTGAATGGATCACTTGATGGAGAACTTCATCGCCAGAGTATATGCGGGTTATATGTAAAAGCTGGGTTATAGCTAGCAGCTCGGTGACTCTGAACTCCTAGTGGCTCCGGGCGGATACTAGGCTAAATAATCTTTAGCACATCGTGGTCCTTGGGTTAAGGCGCCCGTCTGGGCTTCCTCAGGACACTGCCGCGTTCCAAGTCCTGCTCCAAAGATGTTCCCAAGACAAAAATGAAGGGTGACGATCAAATCAGTCTTGTCTCAGATATACAGCTGCTTTATCTTCAACACGAGAACAGTATCCAGCTGGGACATAAAACCTACAGTGAAATGACATCAATATTTACGTCATCAATCTTAAAAGTGACTGTAATTTCCACATAACTATTAGTGACATCAAACTGAAAATGAAACTATAATGATAGAAATATCTGTCAAAATTGGCACGGAAATTATTATTTGAAGCTCCGTCAATATTAACATGCAATCAGTCTCATAATTACACTGGTGTTAGCATGTCATCACCATCAAAACCACATCAGTCTTACATATGAAAATCCTATCAATGTTAAAAGCGTCATCAGCCGTAAAACGGTATGTGTGTTAGAAGCCATATTAATTTAATCGTCAAATTACGTGATGCAAATTTCATCAGTTTTCGATTTACTCGTTAAAAAAAAAAAGACATGAATTGAGTTAAACCGCCGTTATCGTTGTGATGTTAACATACAATCTGATGTGCTAACGTGTGTTAAAGTGATATTATTGTTAATCTAACATCCATGATAGCTCAGCCCGTGTATTGAAATGTGTATGTCGTTTGCAACGTAGTATATCGTTCAAAATATGTAAATATCGCGTGGAATGTGCATTTCGTGTCAAATATGTATTCAATAATGTGCATTTCGTGTCAAATGTGTGTTACGCGTGAAATGTGTGTATCTTCTAAAAGCAGGCAATAGAATAAGTGAAGGCCTTGGGTGACGCTACCCACAAGTCAGCAGGAGACTGGGATATGTTACTGATCGAGATTTTGTTAATCCAACTAAAAACTAACCTCGTAAATTTTTACTAAAAAATAGACTTTTTAAAAGAAGTGTGTAAGTCTATGTAAAGGTCAAAGGGAGAGATTATAAGGGTAGGGAGGTAGTGAAGGTAAGATAATTAAGGCCGCATGATAAGGCAACAACACTAAAAAAATAAAAAAATGTCACTTATAAAACAGACATAGTATGAAATGATAAGAACTGTATGAATCATAATATATTTTCCTCCTTCTCTAGACAATAAATATTTATCATCCAAAGGAGCAGAACAGTGATCCTGTGGGGCCACAGAGCACAGTCCTGTCCAATTTTCATCTTTTTGTTCTGGAAATAAAGCCGAGAATGACCCACAGAGCTCCTCCTCCAGTTTGAATCTTTAGAAATAAAGTCAAAGAAGCGTCCGGCAAAGGGCCAGAACACATATAAAAGATTGGAGTGATAATTGTTTCCATAGTCCAATGACAACTAAATCTCTTAGAAACAAAAGCTCTGGCAAATCAGTCAATTTGCTATATTTTCTGTAATATGGTAAATAATAGTCCGCCAGTGACTTCTTTATAAATAATATCTCGACCGATTGACTGATAAAAATTAAGCCACCCCAAAAGGTGGCACGGGCATGAATAGCCCGTTAAATTATCTCAACCGTACGCTCCTCCTCTCCATCTACCACTCTCACACCCTCCTTTTCCACTCCCTTTCCCCCCTCTCTTGCCCGCTCTCCCTCCCCGCCTCTTCGTATCCTCCAACCACAAACATTATACACGAGGCTACCAGCGAAATAATAGCAAACATTTACACATATTTAGACGAATAGTTTCATTCATACCGTTGTGGCCGGAATCCTGTGTATTGTGCACCCAATCACGTCATATTCCAGCTACAAAAACAACAAAGAAAACAATAACAACTAGTCCCTTACATGGAAACTCTTTGCAACTGGAATTCACATGCAAATGACATTCAAATGAGCTGTGGGGGGAAGCAATGTGTTGACTGTGGACGCTAGGCTGGAGTGTGTGTTCTCAATTATATTGCATATTTCAACCTTTTTTTTCTCCCCTATGATCTATTTCCTAAGATTGTATTATGTTGCAAATTAATACGGGATTCGATGTATTAATAATGAAATTGAAATTCAATACGGAATAGGTGTAGTTACTTCCTTATTGGTTCAATGTTGCCTTCACGATTTGAGAGGTTGGATTCCCTATCCGAATCGAGTCCTGCATTTATGGGTGCATATGTCTTGGCGCTGACAGGTTTATTACGCAGGATTCGGACACCAAACCAGGGTTCGAATCCTACAAATGCTCACATCCAAAACAGGTCATTTAGAAAATTGCAAAAGCAAGCGCTTCGTTGGAAATAACATGGGGGACTTATAACTTACAAGGAGGAGTAAGGTACGACACAGCAAGGTACGACACAGCAAGGTACGACACAGCAAGGTACGACACAGCAAGGTACGACACAGTAAGGCACGACACAACAAGGCACGACATAACAAGGCACGACACAGCAAGGTACGACACAGCAAGGTACGACACAGCAAGGCACGACACAGCAAGACACGACACAACAAGGCACGACACAGCAAAGCACGACACAGCAAGGCACGACACAGCAAGGCACGACACAGCAAGGCACGACACAGCAAGGCACGACACAGCAAGGCACGACACAGCAAGGCACGACACAGCAAGGCACGACATACTAATCCAGCAGCTATGAACCTTCACTTGTCCTGTGGTGAAACAGCTCTGTAATCCTATGAGACAGAGTGTATGCGAGTCGGCGCTGCGCACACACACACACAACCACAACACTCTAGTTACGTTGTCTGTTGGGTTGACGCCAAATGACCCCATCACATCCCTCCATAACCTCAACCAATTTCTGTGAAATTGGTTATGATCTGTCAAATCACGATTTTAATATCCAGCTTTCATGTCTATTTGCGGTTCGGATTACATCCATTGTCGGTGCATTGGTCCGTTGTAAACATTTGTTGGCAGTGATGCATTTTCCTTGTGTTGCAGGGGCTGATCACTGATATTGTCCTGTGTTGCCGGGGCTGATCACTGATATTGTCCTGTGTTGCAGGGGCTGATCACTGATATTGTCCTGTGTTGCAGGGGCTGATCACTGATATTGTCCTGTGTTGCAGGGGCTGATCACTGATATTGTCCTGTGTTGCCGGGGCTGATCCCTGATATTGTCCTGTGTTGCAGGGGCTGATCACTGATATTGTTCTGTGTTGCAGGGGCTGATCACTGATATTGTCCTGTGTTGCAGGGGCTGATCACTGATATTGTCCTGTGTTGCAGGGGCTGATCACTGATATTGTCCTGTGTTGCCGGGGCTGATCACTGATATTGTCCTGTGTTGCCGGGGCTGATCACTGATATTGTCCTGTGTTGCCGGGGCTGATCCCTGGTATTGTCCTGTGTTGCAGGGGCTGATCACTGATATTGTTCTGTGTTGCAGGGGCTGATCACTGATATTGTCCTGTGTTGCAGGGGCTGATCACTGATATTGTCCTGTGTTGCCGGGGCTGATCACTGATATTGTCCTGTGTTGCCGGGGCTGATCACTGATATTGTCCTGTGTTGCAGGGGCTGATCCCTGGTATTGTCCTGTGTTGCCGGGGCTGATCCCTGGTATTGTCCTGTGTTGCAGGGGCTGATCACTGATATTGTCCTGTGTTGCAGGGGCTGATCACTGATATTGTCCTGTGTTGCCGGGGCTGATCACTGATATTGTCCTGTGTTGCCGGGGCTGATCACTGATATTGTCCTGTGTTGCCGGGGCTGATCCCTGGTATTGTCCTGTGTTGCAGGGGCTGATCACTGACATTGTTCTGTGTTGCAGGGGCTGATCACTGATATTGTTCTGTGTTGCAGGGGCTGATCACTGATATTGTCCTGTGTTGCAGGGGCTGATCACTGATATTGTCCTGTGTTGCAGGGGCTGATCACTGATATTGTCCTGTGTTGCCGGGGCTGATCACTGATATTGTCCTGTGTTGCCGGGGCTGATCCCTGGTATTGTCCTGTGTTGCAGGGGCTGATCCCTGATATTGCGTCAAATGTTTTCATTAGTAATTCGGACCATTTATGACCTAAAAAAATAAACTTCAACTTTACAAAACTAAAAAACATCACTAATGTTTTTTGACGGTAACCGCGTTCCACACTTCCCATAAGTGACGTTATTCAAGACATAAACACGGGCGAGGTTTTACGCCTTTAGTAAGTACTGTATAAGAGGAACGTGGGGTGTAGGGGAAGCGATTGTGGGTGATGGGTTCCCTTCCCTTCACCCCTAGTTCAACCAGCCCCCTCTTCACACACACACACACACACACACACACACACACACACACACACACACACACACACACACACACTTCAGTTACAGTTTCAAGTGTAGATATGATAGAGCCCAATAGGCTCAGGAATCTGTACACCTGTTGATTGACGGTTGAGAGGCGGGACCAAAGAGCCAGAGCTCAACCCCCGCAAACACAACTAGGTGAGTACACACACACACATTTGCACGCGCGCGCGCGTGTGTGTGTGTGTATTCGCGCGCACGCGAGACAATGTTCTCCACAATGGGGAAAATCCAAGTGAAACTGCAGTGATTTGGAAGACGACGGCCGGGGATGAAGCGCCTGCGAGAACATCCCACTGGCCGGCTCCTTCAATGAGCTTGAGATCACGGCTCCATGCAGGTGGAGCCCCGTAAGTGCCCCGGTGGGATCTCCCGCGCTAATTCCCCAGAGCCGCACTCCTCCAGGAGAGGAATGCAAGCGATGGCATCTGAGGCTTAGTGGATACCGTCTCCACCGAGTGTAACTGAGTGTTGCTTGGCTCCGCTGACCTTCTTCAGGGAGGAGGTCTGGCAATTCTCAGGAATATTGCTTTCAGATGATAATGCCCTCATGATAATTATTTGCTGTCGAAAGAAGGCACGCACCTTAGGAAATAAGTAAGCCTGGGCATTGCTTGTACTTTATGAGGAGATACAGAGCATCTCAGGCATCGAAGACACCTATTCTGTGTCACGAAGGTAACCTAACTAGGCAGGAGAATTAAATAAAACACTTGGGATCTTTTGTATCCTTTTTAATATATATTATATGCGAACAAGCCTGAATGGTCCCCAGGACAATATGCAACTGAAAACTCACACCCCAGAAGTGACTCGAACCAAAGAATGAGGTGATTTGGTAAAATGCTATGCCCAAGATTACCATCCGAGTGCCGGCGGTGGGGTGGTTCAAATAGCTTCGGCTATCACCTCATTATGTCCGGTCGTGATGGTCAAGTGGATTAAGGCGTCTTGTACATACCAGTTGCGTTGCTTCTGGGAGTATGGGTTCGAGTCACTTTTGGGGTGTGAGTTTTCAGTTGCATATTGTCCTGGGGACCATTCAGGCTTGTTCGCATTTGTGTTCCTCACGTGTGCCCCAAAGAATGAGGTGATTTGGTAAAATGCTATGCCCAAGATTACTATCCGAGTGCCGGCGGTGGGGTGGTTCAAATAGCCTCGGCTATCACCTCATTATGTCCGGTCGTGATGGTCAAGTGGATTAAGGCATCTTGTACATACCAGTTGCGTTGCTTCTGGGAGTATGGGTTCGAGTCACTTCTGGGGTGTGAATATATATTATATATATATTCCTTCACCTGGGCACTAGGAGACTGGAACCCTCGACCCCACGAGCGTGAGGCAAAAGCTCTATCACTACAGTTTTTGCCTCACGCTTGTGGGGTCGAGAGTTTGAGTCTGCTAGTGCCCAAGTGAATGAAATGTTTATTTCCACGATAGTGTGGTGGACAATATTATATATATATATATATATATATATATATATATATATATATATATATATATATATATATATATATATTGTGACGATAATCTCCTTCAAGAGATTGAGCCTGCTCTTCCCTCCAAAATTACGTCTTCACAACTATATAAAAGACTATGGAAGAAATGTCCAACAACGACAACAAACACCAGCAAGGCTTGCCAGGGTGAGCAGAAACGTATGCAACCAGCCACCTGTTCGAACTCCAACCACCAAACTACCCGTTGATCGCTACGACTCCGCTGATTGGTCGCCGGTCTGGCTGCACCTGCCTCGCCCCCCCCCCATACTACCCGATGTCTGGGGTCGCCCCAACATCAGTCTTCAGAATGTTCCGTGCTTTCGTAGCCAGCACTCCTCCCAGCTAGACTCTAGAGTGTACTGAGAGAGGTGGTGGCTTTAAGCCAATATTCCAGCACCTCCCACTTAACTTTTGTGTTGCACTTCTTATTATTTTGCCCTAACGTAACTTTCATTGTGTCATTTAAGTATTCTTATTATTTTGATTCATTGATTTTATTATACATATTTGTTTGTGCATTATTTTCATGTTTTGATTTATTTAACGTAATTAAAATTTCATTGTTAAAGTTTTACTTGTGTTTTGTGTGTCTTCTCCTTACCTTACCACAGACGAAGTTCCGGTTTTTCTATTTTTTTTTATAACTATGTGACGAGGCCATACCCCTAGCCTTAAACAGCCGAACACCAACGCGTTACCGTCACAAGTTTTATGGGGGCCTGTCCTAGGAGCCTCACTCAGGTACTGGTGCCAAGTGGTAATTTATGGTAAGCGTATTTAACTCTGTTAACGTAGCTTTACTATTTTTCATTCAATTTCATTTTTTATAAGGTGCGGTGTATTGTGCATTACGAGAGTAACATATAGTGAAGGTGAGACAACTTTGGATTACGTGGTGACTGTAGGCCTCAGTCATACTCTTAATTGGTCATCTCTCCCTCCTTGTTATTACTCGTATTTACCATCTATGTCCCTTGAATATTTCTCATTCTGACAGATCATCATATTGGTACCCTGGTACTGTGGTCTGCCCCGGGTCAAGAGTACCCAATCTTCTGCAATCTGACTGTAGGAGGACAAAGAGGGCCATAGTTCCTCTAGCTCGAACTTTAGTTGCTGAATTGGGACCTCAGCAGCAGTTCTCGTCACCAGTTGACACCTCGCACCCCTACACGTCAGTCAGAGATGATGATACATACAACGGTAGGGAATTAGCTTATTTTTTCAGAGCACAAAAGTTCGCTAATTCTGTAAGTATCATATTAAATTCAGTGGGGAAAACTTGCTTTATGTCCTATAGAGACTTGGCAAGGTATGCCTACATCCTTGGACTACCAATTTTACTTTTGAAGCATTTAACTGTTTCATTTGTTTTCGAAACTTTGTTTCATTTGTTAGTAGGATTTTCTTGCCCTTATTCTCTTACATGAGTACCGGGTACAAGATTTCCTGCGCCCTTGATTTAATTTAATCATTTAATATCTTTCACTTAACGTTAATTGTTAAAGATCACACAGGATAGGTACCAGTTGCCACGTTGTCCTGTTTCTGACATTTCATTATTGAACATTCGTGTACCTTTATTTGCTAATTTCACCATGTTTCGTCTCCAAACTTTCCGTGCAAATCCAGCAGGTGAAATAGGGACTTTAAGTCGTGCCAAGAGGACTGAATTACAAACTCTTGCACATGAGTATCAACTAGAAGTTCCCTACCAAGCCAACAAAAATGACCTACACAACCTGTTGCTGGATTACTATTTAGAGCAAGGTAAGATAGACTCTGAAACTCATGAAACTTACTATATTGCA